TGCACATTTAACAATAAGTTAGTAACATAATTTATTCCTATTTAATAGTTAAAAACTAAAGCTAATGAGAATTAGCAGCAATAATCAGAAAATCTTAAGCAAACAAAGTTTACAATAACTACAAATTTAATCATCAGACTTAATTAAATAAACAGACATTAGTATTGATAAATACAATCTAATTATAGATTAAAAATTACAAAACGTTTTTAAAAACAATGCATGCCTATCCATAACTAAAGAAAAAAATTAGATGTAGATAAAGAATATGTAACAAATTCTAAATAAAATAAGACATTATTATAAACATGAAACAAGAGTTAAAAATATTGACGCTTAAATTTTTATACATCAAAATTAAAGATAACTTGACCATTTTGAAACTTTTTTTATAGCATTTAATGCACTTAACTCGTAAAACCTACTGATACCCCGTATAAAGAAAACTACATAAATTAGGAATAAGTCTCTTAGAAGCTCTAAATAATTTTATTTATGTCAATAAACAACTAAAAATCTTGCCGTCTTAAATTAACATAGGAAATGCCATTTAAATGGATCGTTCAACAGAATGTTTGGAACGGAGATTGAAAGGACGCGTCGTTTGACGTCATGAAATACGTCATCACTGTCCCTGTCTATTGAGCTTCGACTATTCTTTACATTTTTAGTCACCCGTCGCATACCTGCCACCATAATATATCTATAAAAAAAAAGTTCAGGCGGATGCAATAATATCACAAAAACTTTATTTTTAAATCTATTAGGTAACTAACAAAATAAAAACTATACACTAAGTTTAAATCTACACATTATCATTTTTTATTTAATTTAAACACTTTCCATATCACTTCATATTTGAAATTAAAGTAATTCAAGGTATAAATGCATAACCTTCAACTTTTTTCTCTTTTCAAGAGAAATTTTCATAGGTGGTAGTGAAATAAGATTTAAAAAGTCAGATGCAAGCAAAAATAATTTTGCATTTTGCCAGAAATTGAACAAACCAATTTGATATTACAAGACATTTTTGTGTAGGTTTAATTTATTCGCATCTAATAGTGTGATGATCATTCTAAATTAAAATAATAAATCCAAGATTGAAATGAAAAAATCTGAGATATTATCATTCTCAATGAAAAAAATATCAGGAAAGTTTTCCGGATTAGATATCGATATCCTAAGTCTTCAGCTGCCAATTATTCCGGAAAAGGCGATTGGATGCTATGTAAATGACATTTTTGTATTTAACTTTTAATGCTGATTCAGTATTCTTTAGAATGTCATACATAGCAAATCATTTTTAAAATCTTTTTTAAATATGCAATTCCTCATTATTCTTTTTTTCCCCTTCTCTCTCTAGGTATTCTGTATTTCGAGCTGTTCCAGTCGATGAAACTGACTTAGAAAATCTAAAGTCACTTGCAGAAAAAGAAGAATATGAAGTAAGAATTTTTTCGAAATTATTGGTTTTTAATTCTGATAATGTCCTACTATATATTTATGCTCTATACTATTGTAAAACAAACGCATTCTGCCTTTGAACGAACCAAATATTTTTTAAGCGAAGTATTTTTTTAAAATAGTAAGTAAATAAAAGTCAGTAAACAAAATAATGAAAAGATATAATATCTTCATCAGCTCACACGATTATATTCTCAAAAAGGAGTGCTTTCTAACATTGTATCAATGTAGCCAAAGCAAAATATATCAATACACAAAACGAAACGAAACACAAAACGAAATCTGTAAAGCGAGTAGCAAATTGAAATTATATTACGTAAGCACAGCCTTTAATATACATTTCCCCGCCTATGAAACAGGAAGGTAGTTTTTTTGGTATAGATACTTGTAAAAAATCATTAAATGATTAATTCAATGGAAATATGTGCGGGTGCTAAAAATCCCAGTAAATTTTTTATATTGCTCTTATTTATTATATGTTATGAAAATAGTATAAATTTCTAGCCAAGTCCAAGATTCAATCCTCCAAAAAAGAATTGAGATTTAAATAATGTAAATACCGTTGTTAAAATTTTTTCTTATTTTAACCCGTTTTGTCCCGAATTTATATATTGAAATGATACAAAAAAGTAGTTTTATGGAAAAAGTGGTATAATATATTATCGAAATTAATTGGTTTCTCTACTGTTAGAGCATTCAAAAAGTCTTTGATAGATCAAAAAGTACTTGCTCCTTATAATTCTAGATCTAATCAGAAATAACTAAATCATTCTGGTATCTGAGAATCTTTTAATTCACCCAGATAAAAGAAAATACTGAAAAAATTTTCCCACCACAATTGTCTTTGAAAAAAGGAACTGTCCCAGAGATGCCAACTTGCTCCGGACAGCAAATATATATTTTAAAGTGGTAGTTTATCAATTGTGATTCTTGGTTTAATAAATTCAATTTAGTAGATTTTATCCACCACTATTTCTAAATAATTAGTAGGCTTATATGACTCACCACTTTATAGTACTTATGTCATGCTATACCTTATAATAGCAAGCAAAAATTGTCAAATATTTGCAAAATTTACTTTGTAGTTATTTACCGTTTTTTTAATTATTTTGGCGTGTCCGGAGAAGTTGGCATCTCTGCTGTCCTAAATATATGACGCTGGACGTTAACCGGTTAAAAAGGGGCACCCTCGTTTCCTATCCTGAACATGTTCAGTATACTTTTCTTTTAAAAATAACTGTCTAAAAGTCTAATTTTCAAATTTTTTTAGCTTGATTTTTGGAAGCATCCAAAAGAAGTGAACCAGGCAGTTGACATAATGGTACCGCCAGACAAAATACAATTTATAGAGCAATTTTTAGTAGCCAACAGAATACCAAGAACAATTATGATGTTCGATGTTGAAAGGTAACTATCTTATCTATAGAGTTGATTAATTTGTAACAGCCACCCCATAGACTGCTGAACTCAAACTGTCTTTTATTTTAACTTTTCATACTATTTCATGATGAATGGGATAGGGGCCTTCTGCGCGACCCAGGTGCCCAATTTTTTATAAATAAATAAAGAAAGAAAAGGGCTGATTAACTATATAAGTCATAAATAAGATATATTTGTTAGATATATCATTCATAAATATTGTTAACTTTTTAAACCATTGTTTGTGAAAATTTGTATGTTAGAACAAAAGTTGTTTTATCTTTTTTTCCCCTTCAGTTCACTGAAAATTTTGACCTGAATATGACCACCTTGCTTTAAATTTTCCAAGCTTTTGAATATATTTTGAATAGCATTTAGAGAAATTTTAATTTACTGACTTCCCCTTAAGATTATTTTGGAAGTTTAAATGCATTTTGTTTTCAAATTTACCGGTATAATAAATATTACGATCACTACTGGAATTGTAGCAGTTTTACGCTGTAGTTCTTTCAGCGGAAACTAAAATTCAACTTTTTTGTATGATGCATTATGAATTAAAAGGTAAGATACTTAAATTTTTAGTGTTATCTACCACTATGATTTAAAAGAATCGTAGTAGCATGATTTTTGATTAAAAATTAGTAATATACATTTTAGAGATGGTAGGTGAGCCTAAAAAGTTAAAAAAATACACAAAAACATTTTATTCGAATTAAATTTTTAAGTCTGACAAATACAACGCTTTTTGCGAGACTCTTTATCAAGTGGTACACAATTAAAGATTATAGCTTTCGGAATATTTTAATAATTTTAAAAGTCTCACCTCGAGAGGGCAGGAATAATTTGGCGTTTCTTACGAACTTTTGAATAATTTACATGTAGTGGTGTGAAAAATAACTTTCAATTAAATTTACAAGACATAGAATAACAAAACTAAGCTACCACTACAAGAAATTTTCCAAAAAACTTTGAAAGCTGGAAGACCAGGATGTCAAAAATTAATGTTAGTTACCTTCCTATCGTTTTTCATTGAATACTACTTCTAAAATTTTTTGAAACAATTTTTATCCTTGATGAAGATATGGCAACTTACTTCGCTTTGTGGGGAAATTTCTTCTTATAGTAACAAAATTTAGGATACATCAGGGCTGAAAGTTAACGTACAGGACTGCCAATTATTACTCTTCTTGCAAAATATCTGAGTGGGAACATATATCGATAGAAATGTTTCTACTACCAGTTTTTTTATCCATTCCAGATGAAAGTTAATATACAGAACTGCCAATTGTTACTCTTCTTGCAAAATGTCTAATAGAGTGGAAACATATATCGATAGAAATGTTTCTACTACCAGTTTTTTTATCCTTTCCTGATGAAAGTTAATATACAGGACGGCAAATTGTTACGCTTCTTGCAAAATATCTAATAGAGTGGAAACATATATCGATAGAAATGCTTCTACTACCAGTTTTTTTTATCCTTTCCAGATGAGTAGCAGCCCTGTATAAGGTAGTTGCGAAATTGGTTCATCGAAACAATTTTTCAACTGCCTTATACAGGGCTGCTACTTGTCTGGAATGGATAAAAAACTGGTAGTAGAAACATTTCTATCGATATATGTCTCTTAGCAATAGTTTAAAGGCTCTAAGATATTATTGCCTTCCACAGTGTTATTTATTAGAATTTTAAAAATATGGTATATTTTTTTAGATACATAATCAAGGAGAAGATTGAAATGTCTGCACCATCTTTCCTAATTGGAAGAGATAGTAATGCCTTCTTTACGAATTATAAGGGTTTAAATGAAGTAAGATTTGCTCTTTTATTAAATTTATTCCAAAAAAAAATATCTCTCAATTTTGAGATATTTGTTATAGATAATAAGCGTAGCCACTTTCCAGAGAAATTTGAAAACTGGTAGAAAGTAATCGAGAAAACAAAATATTTTAACTAATTACTATCGACCGAAAATAATTTTAAATTAAGTATCTGTGTATCAGCTGAATAACTGAATTTCGAAAAATAACGTAAAATTAAAACCTATAAAATTTATGATAATCTAATGAAACAGGTTTTACTACTTTTTAAATTGTTCAAGAAAGTGGCCAGCCTAAAAGTGACGTTTTTTTTCTAAGTCATTTTTTTTGTTTGTTTTTGTGCATATTTTTCTATCTAGACATATTCGCTCTTTTCGCAAATATTTTAAAAATGTGTTTACTTAATAAAACAAAGGTAACTAAATAGTAAATTACGTTTAAAGTTCAATTTCTCAATTGTTTAGTAAGATGTATAGGTGTAGTGAAAATTCTTTCTCTGCTAATACCTATCGTACTTTACCTACAAATTTGTTCAAAAAATGCATAACTGCCATTTTTTTACATTCTTCGTAGGGGTAGCAATTGAACGATTGATTACACAAATGTCAAAAGTAATTATTTTGAATATATAAACATTTAATATTTTAAAAAAAATACTGTTGGAAATTTTGTATATTTATTTAATGTATTTACAATTAGTGTAGTAATCTTAGTCCTTATGAATCACCTTGTTAAACCGAGATTAATATATTAATAAATGTATTTTTTACCACTTCTACTAGTTTAGGGAAACCTTTCTATTCATAAATTTAATATTTTGTCATAAATTTAATAATTAAATAATAAATTTTATATAAAAATAAAAAACAATTACTATATATTTTTTTAAAAAAAAGTTTCAAAAATACGCCATGAACCTCTTACGAATTTATGTTTTAGTCATCAAAGCACCACTATCTTGCTGAAAGAAATAACAGCTTGCTCAGTTGCTTCAGAATGAACAATTCATAAAAGCATTCGTACCGAATCAGAATGGAAAAAATAAAAAGCTGTAACTTTAATACAGGCATTCCTAATNGTATCCAATGAGCGAGCAAAGCGAGCATCGGATTGCTTCGCAATCCGAAATGAACTGCGAAAGCAGTTCCGAGCACCAGCGAGCACCAGAGAGCAGGGGGCGAAGCCTCCTAGTTACTATATATTTTTATGAAAAAAAGTTTCAAAAATACGCCCGGAACCTCTTACGAATTTATGTTTTAGTCATCAATGCACCACTATCTTGCTGAAAGAAATAACAGCTTGCTCAGTTGATTCAGAATGAACAATTCATAAAAGCATTCGCACCGAATCAGAATGGAAAAAATAAAAAGCTGTAACTTTAATACAGGCATTCCTAATTCAACAGTCTTATTCCGTTTTCATTTTAAATAATACTAGTCTAATCACTTATCTAGTCAACGTGATAGCTTAAGGTTAACTACATAATGTTAATTTTGAACTAATTAGCGGGGAATTAAATAAATTAAACTATTTTATTTTATAACCGTAGTTGAATAGCGGACCGAATTTTCAGTTTACGGCTACCAATGTTCAACTTCATATACTTGTAATTTTGAGCCCAATCCAGAAGACAAGGGAACTCCTGGATCAAGAAGTAGGAAAAATTTAGCGCCTTCGTGGAGGACTCTTTGATGGAATTAACCCGCATTTGCGTTACATGGAGAGGTAAACTATGAAACCTCTTACGTTAACCTGATGGCAAGTTGACTCCGTCCGTCTACCATCATTGAGGATATTTTATATCAGTACCGTGGTCAGTGCTACCCCATCGAAGAAAATTTTGCATGGGTAAAAAAGGAATTTCCAAAAGCTTCAAGCATGATCTTTCAAATTGTGCCAACAGTTTTGCCATGTAATATCTTTCAAAACATTATCGGCTAAAAGAATTTTTTTTCTTCATAAAATTAGTATGAAAGGTTTTCCATTATTTTGATAAATCACTGTATATTGACTTGTACTGATACATAAAGCAATTCACACTATGTTTATTTTAAAATATATTCTATACTTATTTCAGATTTTTAAATTTCTGGAAGATACAGTCGCTATGAACCCGAATATCGCTGAAATTATATCCATTGGAGTATCTACCGAAGGGAATGATTTGAAAGTCATTAAAGTAAGGTCAAAACAAATTTCGTTTAATGTTTGCTGTTCTTTAATTTTGAAATTCATGTGTGCAATTCCTTTAACTCTTGGTATTATTTTGCTTTGTGCTTTGGAATTACACTTGTCGAGAATTCCCACTATAACTGTCTTCTGCGCATGTTTTGGTGCGCCCACAGCGCCACCAGTTGATGTTAATATCTCGATCTGAGAACAAGCATGTTTAGCTCCGTAAATAATTGAACTTTAATTGTTAATCCTTTTTTTGTTTGTGTTTTCTAATTCCGTTATTATTAAAGTGATTGTCTATAAAACATGTTAGAGTCTTTTATGACTGAGCAAATCGATATTTATTACCAAAGTGGCAGTCCTGGAGAACGGGGTAAGTAAAACTTACCTTACTTTATAGAAATAGTTTTCTTCAGTTTTTGCTTAAAAATTGATAACACTGAAAAAATATATTACTAGCCAAGTCAATTATGAGAAATATTAGCTAAAATGCCTAATCTTAAACTCAAATTTTTTGGGTTTTTTTTTTACCCAACTCTAAGAAGTACAACAAGGTTTACTAGTGGAAATTAAAGACATCAGAACAAAGACAGCACCTTTAGGACCAATTCCACGCTAACTCGGGAATTCGATCCAATTATGAAAGACCAATCCTGCTCTAACGCGGTCCTTAAGATGTTCATAACAAATTTTCATGAACAATGTATTCGGGAGAAACACTTATTCAATTGACTAAGAATCAATTTTATAAAATCAGGAATTTTAAATTTTGCAACCACGTTAAATCTGTGGAATTTACCTCCTGTTACCTCCTAGTGAAGTTAAAACTTCTGCAACACAAATTCACAATCTATACATTAACGACACAAATACACAATAATTGCAAAAGTTAAATAAATAAAATTTACACTTTAAAATTTCAGACTTTGTGTCGTAAATTTAATTTAAAATTTTTGTCCAAAACTACTAGACTAAAAACTACTAATGTTAACTAAACCTGCTACCACTGTTATAATTTTGTCAAACAGTGGAAATCTTAACATCACTAAATAAGAAAATTAGTTTAAAGAAGATTTTTTGAAATCTTATATAAATGTACCCAACGGTGTTATAGTCAAATCTATAACAATTCCTAATGCTATTAGCAAACTACAAACTAAAATAAATGAATATGAGACCTGGTGCTCCAACTGGCAGGTCAAAATAAATACACAGAAATCCAATTTACAAATTATCTTAAACTCCCAGAATTAAATATCCAAAATACATTAACCTTTTTTAATAGTTAAATCCCTATTGTCAATACATTTCGGATATATTTTTCTTACTATAACTAAAGGTTGAAACTGGAATCACCACATCATTAAAATGATTGTTAAAGCTTCTAAAACCTATAAACTAAGATACATAATGGGTCTTCTCAAAAATATGACGTAAGAACAAAAGTTACATTTTTATAATGAAAAATAAGATCAATTATCCCACATACCGCTGCAGCCTGGCTCAATATAACTAAAACACAAACTAAAAAACTAAGCATATTTCAAAACCTTATGCTTAAGAGAATGAGCGGCCTACCATATTTAATAAGAAACAAAGCCTTACAAATTGATTTTAAATTAAAAATCTTAACTGAAGCACTTCATAATTACGGAAATTATTTTATAAAAAAGTTTTAAAAAGCCCAACTATTTATTCCTACAAATGTCTTGAAAATGCTGAAAGAGGAGTCAAAAATTAGATTCCTTGCTCACTTTTTCACAAGTGACGCAACTCTTTCAAATAAATTTTAAAATAATTTTTACTCAAATTAATCGAAATATAAAAGAAAGGCTTTTTTAAGGCTAAATTAACACACTGAGTATCGCGTCAGCCACCGGTGGCTGAAACTGAAATTACATTTAGGCCTCGTCAACCACCAGTGACTGACACTGAAATTACAATTAGGCTGCGTCAATCACCGGTAGCTGACACTGAAATTACTTACCTTTCACATAGGCCGCGAAAAACAGCTGACTGACAGCGTATAACATGATATAGAACTATAAAATTTACACTCTTTTATGAAATTGAGGAAAATTTATTCAAAATTTACTTAATTATTGTGACTCTTGGTTTAATAAATTCAGTAGATTTTTACCCACCACTATTTCTACATAATTCGTAGGGTTATATAATTCACCACTTTTGACAGATATGTCACGAGAAACCTTCTAAAAAATAGCAAAATCCGTTAAATATTTGCAAATTTAATTTGTAGTTATTTACCGTTTGACCCGATTGGCAAGCCATGTAAAATTAGCTTGGCGCTCAATGTGTTATCTATTATACACTATTAGCGTATAGCGTTGCAGTTGGTTCTAATTATAACTTTATTGGCCCTGCAGTGACCTATAGTGGCTCTGCAGTTAAACTTTGAATATTCCACTATTCTTTCCACTTTGAATCACCAAGCTAGATAAGTGCAGTGCTGAAAACTTTCACCACTTTTTCAGAAACTGTCTTTGATTGGTAGTCTCTGTTTGAATGTACTGTTCTTTGCTTTGTAAATTTGAATTAACACGTTGAATGTCACAACGGTAAATAACTACAAACTAAACTTGCAAATATTTTGCTAGTTTTTAAAAGATTTGGCTTGACTTGATAGGTGGTGGACCAGAGTACCTGCCCGCTGGCATCTCACTCCTTCATCTGAAATTCGCGTGAGTGACTGGGACTATTAGCATAGGCAAAAAAGATCAGAGTGTTGGCCGTGCAGCCTCTTTAAATTGCAGACAGTTCTGAATTATGAATAAAATAATAAGTTTTAACTAGAATAGAATAAGAAGGCATGAGGATGTAGAATATATTGAACAATATCTGTCATTTGTTATAAAAATAGTAAATAAAATCGATGTTTATCTATTATTATGGGGCAAAATTAGGTGTATATCTAGGGGTGGTATACACAGAGGCAAGAATCACCTTTGTTCCTTCCCTCGCCTCGGGATCATACATATATGAAAATATTAAATTTATTTGATAAAATTCCATCGGAGAGAAGACGTTTCGATGACGACGACATACCTACCAACTTTTAATCCCTTCCATTATCATTTTTCCCAGTGGTATTAAAATGGAATTAAAACTTCAATTTTAAGCAAACAAACACGTTGCAATTGAAAAAACTTAAGTTAACAACCATTATAGTACCGCATATTAATATATGTGCTTAATTTTTGAAAGAATAGTGGTGATGAAAATCATTTAAAAATTAAGTTTATAAAAGAAAAAAAATAGTATATATTTACTACCACTTTAAATATGAAAATCAAATCTTCCGAAAAATCCGGAAGAGTTGGCAGGTATGCAACGATCTGTAATTTGTAGGGTGTCTGCCCGCGTCAGCAGGCACCAGACCTCTTAGTCTAAATTATGCCCTAGGGCAGTGGTCGGCAAAGTGCGGCTCCGGAGCCGCATGTGGCTCTTTTGCTTCTTAAGTGCGGCTCTGGCACAAATGTCCACGGAAGGCGCAATAATATTTTCATTTAAAAAAAAACTTGTTAAGAAAAAAAATTACATCTTATTTTGATAAATTAAAATTCTTCTATAAATCGAGAACATGTATAATTTTTTGTTTAAATTAAAAGGTAATAAATAAGGTAGATAGGTAATTAAAATTTTATATTGTAGTAAAAATACGTAACGAACATCGAGTTAAAGTTTATTAGTTTTCGTAAACGTAAACACAAACCACGTACAAGCTACAGGCTGAAATTGTTCGTATGTTTTTGGGGTACTCCGGTGTGATACAAAGGTACCACAAGCATGCGCGCATACTTTTTCTAAAGGAGTCTGGGTACAAATTGGCATCACAACACAAGTGGTCTGCTTTGAATGACCTGGAGAAGGAAGACATGATCATATTCAACGCTTGGAATAGTATTCCTGACTCTTACGATCAGCTGAAAAAGCTCGCGTTTGCTGTTCTTTACCTTTTCGGTTCTACATATATATGCGAACAATCTTTTTCAAGCATGAACATTATCAAGAGTAAACTGAGAAGTCCTCTTATTGATGAGAACTTGGAATCATGCCTAAAATTAAAAACAACAGCATACAAACCTGACTTACTCAAACTTTCCAAGGAGATGCAAGCACATTGTTCGCATTAATAAATATTTATTAAGTATGAAATTTAGTTTTATTTAGTGTACTACTTATTTAGTGTAATAAAAGTTTACTAAACAAGCAGATTTGGCTCCCAATTTGTTTTAAAAATTGTTGTAATGTTCATATTTGGCTCTTTGGCTAAAAAGTTTGCCGACCACTGCCCTAGGGCAACTGGTACTAATGGGCAATGGCATAAGACGATCCGGAAAAAGTGGTGAATCATATAAGTTTACGAATTGCTTAGAAATAGTGGTGGATAAAAATCTACTAAATTGAATTTATTAACCCAGAATCACAATTCATAATCTACCACTTGAAGATATTTTATTCGCTGTCCGGAGTAAGTTGGCATCGCTGTGTATAGAAATAAAACTATTTTTGTGTGTTCCGTATTGCATTAATTTCTTCAAACCATTTTAGTAACGATAGTATTACAAAAAATTACAAATTTACTCGAATTAAGTGTTTCTAATAATCTTGTCTTCGCCGGTCACCCTCATGGCATTCAACGTATTAAAGTTATTTTCCACGGCACTAGATGTAAATAAAACAAAACTTTAATTGGAATTCCAATTTGTTCCAGTTATCATGTGGTGGGGCTTTTCAAATGGTTATGAAATGACCAAAAACTTTGAGTGCTTTAATTTTTAATTGTTTACCACTTTATAAAATCTTTTGGGAAAAGTGCAGCAGTTGGCAGCCTTGTGAGCTAGGCCGAAAGCTTATAAATACCAAAACGAAAAAGATCAGACACTGGTATGAATGGAAATACATTCTAGCATTTTTTTTTTCCAGAAAAATTAAATTTCTGCAACTACCGAGATTTTTTTTCCTCACAATTATGGCATATATATAAAACTGCTTCTTTAAGATAAAGTAGATATTGTTGAGTTGCTAGAAAAAAAGAACAGATTTACTCCTCCCGAAAACAAGTTATAACTGAAATCGTTTTACTACAAGTTTTTTCGTCTCGCTTTCACCCATGCCTGTAAGTATACAATTCTACACACTAATGTTAGAAAATTTCCATATGAATAAATTTATCTTTCCAACTTTTACAAAAATAATAATAACGATACCATTTTAAAATCCATACCAACAATTGTCGGTATTTTATTTTTTATACGAGGACACAACTCATTCCTATGATCATTGAAGAGTTTAAAACTGTAATGCAGTTTTAATATACTAAAAAAACGGTAGTTAAAGAAGCTTAAGTTGTTTGTTTTTTACTTAGATAAGTATATATTTTTAAGATGTGCTAGAGTAACTAAACATTCAGATAAATGCCCACTCGGAAGTCTACAATATTGAAAGTAATAGCATAACAACAATTAAGTTTCAGCTTAACCCTTTTTATCCCGACTTTATATGATAAGGTTATGCAAGAGACGGCTTTATGAATAAAATGGTATACTACATGATATGCATACCTGCCAACTTTTACACATTACGAATTTTATTTCTTTATGCAAAGTGATAGTAAAGTGTATGCTTTTTATATATTCCCTTCAATTAAAAAAATTAATTTTTAATCTTTTTGACCACCACTATTTTTTTAAAAATTTAAGAATATATATATAAATTTATAATACTGCCGCGATATCTCGAATAAGCTTTTTCGAAAAACAACGTATGTTTCTGCGGAAAATTTCAATTTAAATTCTATTTTATGCCCCCCCCCCCCGGGGAAAATCTTCCTCGAAAGGATTAAAAGTTGGTAGGTATGGATATGATCCTGCTATTAGCTGGCGAAAAGTAATGACTGAATAATGCATAAAATGTCTTTTCTAAGAATTCTTTATAAAGCCCTTTTCCGATTATTATTAATGTCTTGATCAGTAAAATTTTCATTTCAATATTTTAGATTGGATCGAAAAGCAATTCGACAAAACCAGCCATTTGGATCAACGGCGGTATCCATGCAAGGGAATGGATAAGTCCTGCAACAGTTTCTTTTATTGCTCATAGTGTAAGTAATTCTCATCGTATTATTTATAATTCATATTTAATCCCAATCCTGAAAATAAGAAAGCTTATCTGTCAAGCTATCCGAAAACACCGTAAGTGATGATGTTCTAACTTAAAGAGTATGCATGGAGCAAACGTATTCAAGCAAACATCCTATGCGAAGAGCATATGCATATAGTCCGTTCACCAGGAGTTCACACTTGGTTCCACCTCCTCGGAGGCAGAGTTCATTTCAGCGCGGGAGTAAGAAGAGAAACATCTCCGTGCTTGAAATTGAGACAAACCCTTAATTTGCACCAAACACAAACAGTGAATTCTTTTTCAGTCACATACTTCGCTTTATCATCTGCTATTATACCTTTTGTTACTCTAGCTAATTAAATTTAATTTAAAAAATGCTGCTCTCCCAGCAAAATGTCACATAAAGGACAAACTATTCACTCAAAAGAAAGAAATATCATAAAAATTGGGGCAAAATACCATCAAATTTATGAAATATTTATTGTTAAAAAATGCACATGAAGTTTGCGAAATAAAGATTTTTGCCAAACGATCGCCAAATAGCAACATTGTTCAGGATTGCTCACAACCTTCTCCCAAAAATAGCGAAATAGAATCGTCGCATACCAGGTGATGTAGGCGGGGCCAAGTGCCAACTCCTGGTGAACGAGCTATACATATTCAAATTTGTAACGAAAGTATCCAATAGAACTAAGCGGTACATCTGATAAGTACATTTAAGGGAAAATTCCCTATCATTTTTTTAAAAAGGCACATATTTGCATCTTTGTATAATAGGCCGCGCCCTTTCGCTGCCATAAATTTTCAGTAGACCAAACATATTTTTTTTCAAGTAACTGCATTCAATTCAGAAACAATACTGATTCAGTACAGTAAAATACTAGTTCAACTTGCTTCGTTCCGACTTTACACGGAATGGTAGTAGTAGTACTTTATTTTGCGTCACACTAGCACTATACAATGGACATTTGGCGATGGTCGGGGGCAACATCCCTGAGGGTGATCCGAAGACAAGCCATCCCAATTTTGATCTTCTGAAGAGAGTTGATGGCTCACCTGCTTGGTAGTCTGATGACCTACACGTGAAGTTGAGTATTTTATAGTAGAACAGTTTAACGAGGATTGATACAGAAACAGAACACCATCAGTCCATTCGCAGGCTGATTAAAGTGGTCACCCACCCACTTTCTGACCACAGCCAGTGATCCTTGACTTGAATGTTCTATTGGGAATCGTGTATAAAAATTCGATAAAGAAAAAGAATTAATTAAAACAACCCAATGAAACACTATCGACGATAGATATTTTTATATTGAAAGAATGTTTTTAATTTCATTAATGAATCCTATATCCGGTTAAAAACGACGAAATTTTGAACCCGATAAATATTGAATCCTTGAACTTGGATAGTAAATTAAACAGGTTTTGATTTTTAAATCAAAATTTGGCTTTTTTATAAAATTCCTTTAAAAGAGCATAGCAATGCAAATAAAACGTAAAGAAATAATTACATATTTTTCAACAACAAAAAATTGGTAAAAAACTTTCATTGGAAAGAAGCTTGGATATCACTTGACTAAAAACTTCATTCACTTCAAAAATATATAAATAGGAAAAAAAAACAGTCAAGATGTTTCAAGCTCTCAAAAACAGGCACCCATTTTCTAGACTTGCTAGACGTGAATGAAAAGAAACAAAAGTGGTTTTAAGTTGCCAACAAAAAATTTGGAAGGTAAAGGTTAGAAATAGAGAGAAGCCACAATAGCCAAGAGGGGAAAAAGATGTGAAACAGATAAAAAAAAATACACAGTTGCCGAGAGGAGTAAATCAAGGTTAGACATGTATATAAACTTAGATACAGGTATAGGACAAAATAATAAGAACACCTGTGAAAGAATGGAGTCGTTCTCGACCGTCCAATAAGCGGGGGCACGTGTCGCAAGAATGTGCCACCTAGTGGTGATGAAAGGCAAGGTATCGGTATCTGTCTAGCATTTGGCAGTGTGAGATTTGTATGAGAAAAATCTGTTTCTAGAAAAACGAGATTATGTCCGACCCCTCTGACCTTAAAAGAGGCATGATAATCGGAGCTCACCTGGCTGGAGCTTTCGTGTCCAGAACAGCGAACCTTGTAGGTGTTTCAAGGACCACTGTATCGAGGACTCTGTCGGCATACACAAAGTTGGGTAAGGTGTCTTCGGCGAAGCACAACAGCGGCAGGAAGTCAAAGTTGTCAGACCGTGATAGACGGGTATTGAAGAGGATAGTCGCTCGAAAACGCAAGACTGCACTGCCGGTGATAACATCCGAGATGAATACCCACCTTCAGATCCCTGTATCCATGAAAACTATTCAACGGGAGGTGCATGCTGCTAACATTCATGACAGAGTAGCTATTCCAAAAACGTTAGTTTCAGCGCGGAATGCTTTGAAGAGACTACAGTGGTGCCAAGACCACCTAAAATGGACACAACTGCAATGGGAACAAGTCATCTGGTCTGATGAATCCTCTTTTACACTATTCCAGACCACCGGACGTGTGTTCGTGTGGCGAACGCCGGCAGAAACATTTCATGTTGACTGCCTGGTTCCAACCGTGAAACATGGAGGTGGTTCTGTGATGGTGTGGGGCGCTATATCTGTTCGTGGATTGGTGCCTCTCGTTGTCTTGAGGGGGGTGGTCAGAAGGGACCATTACCGAAGCATTCTTGCAGATCATCTTCACCCTATGCTTCATACTCTCTTTCCGGGAGAACGTCCTGTGTTCCAAGATGACAACGCCCCTGTTCACACGTCTCACTGTGTTCAAACATGGTTAAATGAGCATAATGATGAAGTGGACCATCTAACGTGGTGTCCTAAGTCCCCTGATCTCAATATCATTGAGCCTTTGTGGGGTTTTTTGGAGAAAAAAGTCCGTGCTCTGTTTCCTCCTCCACGCACACTCTCTGAACTCGAGACAGCCCTGCAAGAGGAATGGCTGAAAATTCCAATGAACTTTGTTCAAAACCTTTATTTGTCAATCCCACGTCGAATGCAAGCTGTCATTCAGGCCAAAGGTGGCCCAGATCCTTATTAATAAAATATTTTCATTTTTTTACAGGTGTTCCTATTATTTTGTCCTATACCTGTATGTTTTAACTAAATAATATTAAAACAATCATGATACCTACAAGTATACATATTAATACTGACATTTGCTTATATGTAACGAAATAAATTCTAAAAACGATAAACAAACAATTACTATTACTATGACCCTTAATTTCTTTCAGCAATTACTCACAATTGGCTTCTAGTAATAAGATATTAATGGTATTTAATTCGAGCTAAATATTTCATATTTAACACTAAAATGACTCGAACCATTAAACACGCTAACTCGGTGTTAAGGAAATTATCTTTTTTGCATGGGGTATTATATGGGTTTCAGAAATAGCTATTATGTAATTTATAAAGAAGAAATCATTCCACTATTAAAATAGGTTATAAAGTTTTACAAAATTGTTTAGTCATTTTTAAATGGTTCTCTAACGCAAATATTTCTTTTATAGCTGGTCATTGAGTATGACAATCATGACGATGTTAAGGAAATGGTTGATTACTTTGACTGGTACCTTCTACCAGTATCCAATCCAGACGGTTACGTTTACAGCCATACTTTCGTAAGTTATCAACTTTATTTCTGCTTGATTTATTAATTTTATTTAAGAATTTATATTTTCTTAAGTTATGTTATAAGAGTTATGTTTACTTATCTAAAAAAGAGATCTTAAAATAATTGAGGACTCTTCAGATTTTTTTTTTTACAATTGATTAAAAGCTGAACTTTTAAGATTGTGTATCAAAAATTTAAATTTAATAGTTCGATAAATCTAATTCTTGCTTATTTTTAAAATGGGTTTTGAACTTTTTTCGACAATTTTTCAGTTACGGTTCAATTTATGTAACGAATATTTTTTCCCTCCATTTTAGAACAGAATGTGGAGGAAATCTCGAACAAGAGCTCAAATATTTTGTCGAGGAGTCGACTTGAATAGAAATTTTGGTTTTCATTGGAGAGGTAATTTTTTTTCATAGTTAGATTTTATGTATTAAAATCTCTCTAAATTTTAAAAGAGAAATGAAACAAATATTTAAAAAAAAATTGTACTTAAGAGGTGAAGTAAATTTTAAGAGAGAAATGAAACGAATATTTAAAAAAAGAATTGTACTTAGAGGTGAAGTAAATTTTAAGAGAGAAATGAAACGAATATTTAAAAAAAAACTGTACTTAGAGGTAAATTTTAAGAAAGAAATGAAACGAATATTGAAAAAAAATTGTACTTAGAGGTGAAGTAAATTTTAAGAGAGAAATGGAACGAATATTTAAAAAAAAAATTGTACTTAGAGGCGAAGTAAATTTTAAGAGAGAAATGAAACGAATATTTAAAAAAAAATTTACTTGGAGGTGAAGTAAATTTTAAGAGAGAAATGAAACGAATTTTTTAAAAAAAAATGTACTTAGAGGTGAAGTAAATTTTAAAAAAGAAATGAAATGAATATTTAGAAAAAATTTTACTTAGAGTTGAAGTAAATTTGTCGAAGATCAAATAACAGAAAGAAAATGAAGACATTTAGATTTTCCTACACTGAAAAAAAAACAATAAGTAAATTAATAAAATAAATAAACACCACGTCATGCGATTACTCTGTCCTGTACAAGTCATGAAAAATGCATAACTGCCAACTCTTCCCGTATTCCGACATTATTTTTATATTTCAAACTAGCAGAATTTTGCACAGGGTGAATAAAAAATTCATATAATCAGTACTGAACAACACTGCGAAATCATGCACAAAACTGAAAGAGATGTTTCCACACAGTTGAAGTGATTAGTGGAAGAACCAGGTAAGGGACATTTTAGGAATATTTATGAATCAGTGAAAATAACAAAGATGTTGCTTCAATATGGGTATATTTATAATGAAAAGGAATTATTTTTGATTTCACTTTAATTTCAACGCAACTCATCAATTTAAGTTCTTAGTATGTATTCATGATTTTTATTTTCAAATTAGGCAGTGGTAAATAAAATAAGATGAAGAATTATTAATTCCGCCATCTAATAAATCGGTCATAAAATAATTTGGAGACCACTTTTTTTCCGTCTTACCCTGACTATAGCCTCTCTGAATCTCCGCTTAAATTTCCAATTAACACGTTGAATGCCATAGGGGTCACCGATGACCGGCAATGAGTTTGTTCGTAGCGCCACGGGGGTCACCTTTGACCGGCGAAGCCAAGATTATTAGAAACACATAATTCGAATAAATTTTAATTTTTTTTTTATTATTATCGTTATTAAAATGGTTTGTGGTTAGTGGTGGATGCAAAAATAGTTTTACTTATATACACAGCAATGCCAACTTGCTCCGGACAGCGAATAAATATTTTCAAGTGGTAGTTTATTAATTGCGATTCTTGGTTTAATAAATTCCATTTAGTAGATTTTTATCCACCACTATTTCTAAACAATTCGTTGGCTTACATAATTCCCCACTTTTTTCAGACCAGACCAAATATGCTAAACCTTTTAAAAAACTTAGCAAAATTTGTCTAATATTTGCCAATTTAGTTAGTAGCTATTTACCGCTTAGCCAGACGGGCAAGCCATGCAAAATTAGCGTGGCATTCAACGTGTTACTAAACCTAAAATGAATTCCTTTTTGTTTGTGTTTTATTATTATTTGTTGCCCTTCCCGGTGGCTTTACGTTATCACATTACACGTTGCTAAGCAAAACATGGTTTTTGTAGTTCATTTCATTAGAATAGAGATTAACTGTAATTAGTATCACTTGACGTGATGATATTGCTAGTGGCCAACTCATGATAGTCAAAATTTACCATTATCAAGTAATTTTCTCCGGTACATATCAATTTAAAGGAAGCGTAAGATGTTGATTTCAACAGCATCGGTATTGAAACTGCTTAGAATTGGTGCAGTTTTAATAATCACCAAATGTATCAATATAATCATGGTGCGTAGCGTTTTTAAAAAGTGCTTAAAGGTGCTTATTTTCGATTTTCGTTATTTAAAAGTACTTAAACGTGCTTTTTTCATTGGGTGTCTTTAAAAAGTGCTTAATTTTCCCTTGACGAAAAATTTTTTTTTTCGTTACCATGTCTATTTTTGCCACGTATTATGCAAAAACATGCTCTTCACATTGTTCTATTAAACTTTTTCACTATTCATTTCGGCGTACCGTCTATCCATAGCGTATGAAAGCGCCAATCATTTTACATGTTTGATGAAATACTTGCGAGCTCGTATGTGCGTCTACTGAGCTGGATTCGATGAAATTATTGCCTTCTCATGTGCAACTCTGCTGCATTTTGCAAGATATTCTCAATTTCAGGTTTCATTTTCCACCCTCTGATATCGAACCGAAAAATCTCTCTATCATTTTAGAACGGCTAATATAATCAAGAAAAGAGTTCTTTGTCAGAAACTAGTTATTTTATCACGATCAGCTAAAGTCTTTGAAAATTATTTTGCATTTTGTTAATGTATATAGTGCTTAAAAATTTTTGAGTGCTTAAAAAGTACTTAAAAAGTGCTTATTTTTTGTTGAAAGATTTGGCTACGCACCCTGATAATACTTTTTATCTATGTCAGCATATTTGTTTTGAACTGCATAGAACTTTGTGCGAAATACTTTGATCAGTAGCAAAAAATAATCTTTCTTTTGTTTAAGTCTTTCCTATCTCTTTATTGTGTTATATATGTGTATTAATATTATATTTTCAAGTGGCGAAGAAATTTAAAAAAAAAATAATAATTTACAATCAATGCAATTTTTGTTTGACTTTCATGATATTGTACTAAAATGATTTTTTGACATGAATTAAAGAAATTTTTAAAATGAGTACGTTTTTAACCTTTAATGGGGCTACGTTATTCTATTAATGCTATGATAAAATAATTTTGGAATTCAGATTTTAAAAAAATTAATTTATTATCTTGATTTAGAGATTATTTATTTTCTTTTTTGGTGGAATTTTCAAAATTTACTTTCTTTAAAGAATCTGCCGTAAACTTGAACTTCTGTGCTTATAAATGAACAATTTATAAATTCCGTGTTTTGAACTACAAATAAACTCGAGGATACGTGATCAAATGAGCGAACGCATAACGCACAAAGGAAAATAACCCTCTGCTCTTGATCCCACGCTAGCCTTAATTTTTTTCCCACATTTATGGAAACAAAGGCCTCTGGATATTTTATTTTCTATTTGCGTTTCAAACTCTATGTAAATAGAAAAAAAATATTTAGAGGCCTTTGTTTGCATAAATGTGAGAAATTAAGGTTGGCAAGAGCAAGGGCAACAAATGTACAAGCTTAAGTAAGAGCGGATAATATTATCAGGCCAGCCAACTTCCTACGCTCTTTGAAAAAATTTAATCTAGTGATAGCTAAGTTTATATCTCAATTTATAATTCTTTGTTTTGTAAATTTAATTTATAGTTATTTTTTACACCTCTACACGTAAATGACTGAAAGATTCATAAGAAACACCACTTAAATCCAGATATGTGGCTTTTAAAATGTTTGCAAAATTTCTGACTTCTCAATTTTTAATTCTATATAATATAT